AGAGGGAATGAAAGCAACATCTATCGATCGAGAACAATATTCTCAATAAATGACAGTGGTTTCATTTCTTAATCTCTATTAGGAGAGGAGGAATGAATTTTCAAAGCGCGCAGTAACTCCGAACAAGTCCTTCTCATTCAAAAATTAATTTCTCCCCTCCCGAATTGAGATGAACTAAGGAAACCAAAGCTTACCGATTGAGAATTATATTTTTAATAAATGACTTCGGTGTCATTTCTTAATCTCAGTTAGGAACGGAGGAATGAATGTTCAAAAGCGCGGAGAAACCCCGAACGGCTTTCCGACGTCGAGTGAGCCCGGAGGGGCTTTCCCGATTAGAAAATTCATTTCTCCCCCCCTCATCTTCATTAGATGAAGATGAAGGAATGAAACCGATGCCGATCGATAGAGAATTAAATTCTCAATAAATGACGGCGGTTTCATTCCTTAATCTGAAGTAGGGGCGGAGGAATGAATTTTCAAAAGCGGGGAGAAACCCCGAACGGATGTCCGACTAGTCCAATGAATGTCGGTCTAACATACGAATGTTTGCGATACAGGCTCCATTTTTTATGGAATTTGTGATTTAGGCGTATGAAACTAATGGCGGATATTTAAGGTTCAACAAGTTTGTGCGGGGGTTGAAAAAGCCAAAAAACTACCCATAAAAACAGTTTTTTCGAAATAACTCGTGAATAACGCGCTGTGCGTCCAAAAACGTAATACACAAAGTTGTAGAGATCAAAATTCTACACAAAAAATGTTTAGGGCACTTTACCCCTATTCATCCCCCAGAGCCGCGTGAAGATCAGATCGGAAAAAAAAATGTTTTCCATTAAAAAAATTGAAGTTGATGATTTTTTTTTTTTGTAATTCGGAATATCAGTGTTTTTTTTTCAATAGCTTGTTTATTTATTCAGACCGAATCTAATATATGTTGCTATTTATATCTTGACATTGAATCAATGAATTTCTTTTTTTTTTTTTCATATTTTTTATTAGAAAATTTACTACCAATTTTGTCTTAATCGTACTTGCGAATCTCCTATGGATTCAAAGTTGAACGCAATTTTCTAGCTCCAAT